CATGAGACAAAGTATATGTGAACTGCTGTATGAAAAGTGAATTTACTCTGTAAATCTTCACCCAAATCCTAATTAAAAAAAAAAAGAAAGATGGCAATAACCTAAATGCCCATCAATGGAGGAAAAGAACAACAAACTAGGGTACATGCAATAATGGAATACTATGCAACATTAAAGAATAATGATGAATCTGTGAAACATCTCATGCCATGTATAAACTTAGAGGCCATTAGGCTGAGTGAAGTCAGTCAATCACAAAAGGGCAAATTTGTATGAGATCACTATTGTAAAAAGTCAAGAAATATTCCTTGATGGTTACTAGAGGTGGGTGGGGACAGTAGGGTAAATCACTAACTAGAGGGTAGAGACCAATTCCAACTCACAGCATCCCCCACTAGGTTTTTAAGACTGTAAGTCTTTACAGGAGCAGACTTTTTCATCTGTCTTCTGTGGAGTGGCTGGTGGGTTTGAACCAGTGACCTTCTGATTAGCAGACAAATGCCTTAACCACTATACCACCAAACTCACTCTCATCGCCACAGAGTCATTTCCGACTCGTAGTGATCCCTCCTTGAGTTTCTGAGATGGTATCTCTATAGAAGTAGATTGCCCAGTCTTCCTTCCAAGGAGTGGGTGGTGGGTTTGAACTGCCAGCTTTCAAGTTAGCAGTCAAATGCCTTAGGCACTATGCCACCACAGATCCTACTATACCACCAGAGCACCTTAATTAAAGGAAAAGCAGGGAAATAAAGAGGATTCAGCTCACCTGTGTTTGCCATATGCTCATCGGCATTTAATCCATTTTCTAGACGCATTGGTGGCACCACAACAGTACAAACAGCTGGTTTGTTTTTTGTGTCAGTAGAGGTTACCAGGTCTGTGTTCTGATGAGTGTTCTCCACAAAACTGCTCTCTGCAAATGGACTGTCATGTCCTGAAGACTCTGACGTGGGAGAGCCATCCACAGTATCACAACCACTTTCTTGTTCTTCATCTGACATACTACATCAAGAAAGCAGTTATGAGAACTATTTTTCCCACCAGTAATCAAAAGTTAAATAATAATGATCTTAATCAGTTCTCTTTCTAATTATACCTTCTCCCTTGTCCAATAACATTTTTTCAAAGAATTCCTAGAGCCTCACATTAATTCACATAATTTTCAGACTACTAATTCTAATTCTGTCCTATTCACAACATGCTTTTGTCCTTGAATTTCCTCTCCTTTCCTTTTCCACTTGATCCATAATAGCTATTCATAAAATTACCAATTCTGGATAATTTCATCAAGACACTATTTGGGATAATTTAAATGAAATGTACAAACATATAAGCATGTGACTTGGATATTTCAGATTAAATTCTAATGTGCCTTTCGTGATAATTTGGATTCCTTAGTCAGTTATATGAAAGGTCTTCCTTACCTCTCTCATATTTCTCTTCTCTTGCTTACCCCCTCAGGCCCTGACAATCTCTCTCTCCTTGTGATTTCTGTTTTAACTACTTATCTCATACTTAAAAAAAAAAATTACAGCTTTAATTATGTATCTCATACTTAACAAGCTGAAGCAATATGCAATCTCTCTTCTATATATATGTTTCAACTTCCAGACATTATAGCAACATGTAAGAAAAGGGTATGGCAAACTTCTTTATATCCTCCATAAAGCTCTGATTTTAAATATTTGATACCCTATATCCTGACTAAGCAAAAAAGAAGCCACATGTATAAAATTAAGACCTGAAAATTTCAGGTAAGTTGCCTGAAATTTTTTTTTTTTGGAAAAAAAAATCCAATACACAAGCTAACAGGCTAAAATCAAATGTACTTCACTGAAATTGTTTGGGATTTCATTTGTTAATTTGTAGTACATTGTGCTGGTTAAGAGAAGCTTACTGTTTTAGTGGCCATGCATGTCTCTGACCAAAAGGATGGCAAGGAAGATGAAACCATGCTAATCAATCATCAATGGGAGAATAAAATCATAGTGGATATCCTAATGTCCACAGGCCAGTAAGTATATCATCAAGCGAACCATTCCTTTATTATTTTGCTAAAGTATGTATATATTAGGGGAGCTCTGCTAATTCCAAAATTAAGTACAATGGTAGTCTGCCATGCTGAAATTGATAAAGTGGCTTTTTCACTCTTTCAAAAACAAGTGATTTTTTTAGACCCCCAATTTCACAATCAGAGCTATTATAAAAAAATACAGAAAATGACTACTTTAATTCTATGTTTTTAAAAAGTAATCTAGTTAAAAAATTATGTTCAAATGAGAAATCACTGTGGTAAACTGGCAATTGTTAATTTAAACAATAACAAAAAGAAATCATAGGCTTTTTCATAAGCTTAATATTTTATTACAAACTGCTGTTAAAATTCCTTTACCTGTTCGGTCTCTTACAAGGGGATGGGCTGAAAGGCCCTGAGGAGCTGGTGCTCAGAGTACTATCAGGACTACTTAATGAACACATCCGATCAATATTCAAAGTGCTCTGGCAAGCTTCACAATCTAGACTCCCTTTACATCTAATAGAAGAAGGAGGGGGAAACACACATCAAAAATTAGAAGACTACGCAAGTAGCCCAAATTTACATTATTCAATTTAGGACACAAAATATAGTTTTTGAACCTTCACTTGTTCAAAATGACCTCCTACAGACAAAAGTTTAAATTTGAATTTTGGAAAGCTGCTATAATAATCATGCTATTAAATACTATTTAGGACGTTCCCTCTGTCTAAAATCTGATTTGAAAGTTTTATTCCAGAGGACATCAATGCACAAGAAATGAGTCACAGAAATTTTTTCCACTTCACCAAAGGACATCAGCATAAACACAAGACTGCATGTGTGGCACACTTACTCTCGGAGTGAATGTCTCTGCGATGTATCCTCCTCATCGGTGTCACTGCTGATAGTGATCACACTCACGGCAGGACTTGGGGAATCAGCAATGATGATGGTTTGCCGCTGTTTGTCTGAACCTGATGAATCTGAGTCCTGTCTGACAGATGTTTCACAACAATTCCTTGTCTCTCCTTCTGACTTATGATTGTCCTGTGTTTCTATACAACTTACTTCCTCGGCTTCTTTCCCATTTATTATCTTTGGAGAAATAAATGCTGAATGGGGGACATTGGTATTCTGCAATGAGTTACTCCTGCAACCAAAGGAAACAGGTGTACTGTCTATAATCAATACACATATATGGTATTTTTCTAAAATTTGTTCAGTTGGACAACATGAACCTTCACTTGTTCAAAATCATGTATTAAAAAATTCTAAGTTTTTGTGAGATACAGAAATATCAATACAGATTGCATTTACATACATTCAAATGGTCACATTTCTTAGGGGCATAAATGTGATATTGGATGTCTAAAATTGCTACAGTATAGGTAAATAATAAATCAAAAGGGCAATAAAGACAATCTTACCAACTGAAAGCATTTATTTCCTCTCTTCCTGGCTCCCATTCCATTAGTTTTACCAAAATACCTCTGAGAAATTGAGAAGGGAGCTGGCTTAGTGTTTGCAGCAAGGCTATCAAAGAGGCTATTTTGAATACAATAGAGTGACCCTCTAGTGTACATGCAAAATTTATTTTAAAGATCAATTCTCAAAATGCAGAGCAAAGTTAACATTAGCAGTACTAACCTGTTCTGGCACAGCTTATTTTTCTTGGAAGTGGCAGGCTGAGGCCAGACAACATGTGCAATGCCCACACTAATTGGCTGAGGGGCAGATAAAGTTATCTGATTGGTTAGCAGAGGTTGCGGCATCACTGAATTATAATGACTGCTGTGTGAAATCATTTTCCTAGGGAGAAAGTTCAGAAAATTTGAATCCTTTCTTTATGAAGATCTATCCTGCAAGCTAGTCACAAAGAAGTATGTTTTTCAAAATTTTATTTTCAATTTACCCCCAGTCTCCAAGCCTTTGTGAACCAGCCACACCCTCAGAAGTCAGTGTAGTAGTAGCAGGAGCCATGGGTGTTATCTGTTGCCAGGCAGGTACCAGCATCTGCTGTGTTCTACCAGACCATGTCTGCTGCATCAAAAACAAAACTAGTAAGTGATAAGTAATTCATCTTAATTACATCTTAAACTAAAAATATATTAAAGTAACAATCAACTAATAATTATAAAAAGTCAAGGCAATAACCTACAAAGGATCAAATTCCCATCCAGGTCATTTTCATGTTTTCCAATAGCACAGGCTGATAGATCCCAATGGACTAGTACCCCTACTTATGTGTGAGTAGGATAGTACATATGCAAAAGCAGAATTATTACCAACCTGAGAAAGAACGCCTGGTCGGATCTGTAGCGGCTGCACAGCTGGGGCCTGAGTTACAAGTGGAACTGAATTATCTACCCTTATTGAATAACTAGTGGGTTTACCATGCGTTGCAGGAATACCTGTGAAATAGAAAAAGAACAGTTCTCAAATGAAATAAAATTGCTCCTCTGATTTAACTTATAAAAACTATTTTCAATTTTAAAAATTGCTTAAATTCTGATAAGGATTTTAAAACTACTTCTTGCATACAATTTTCATTAAACTAACAAAGCAATTTATTAGGATTGGTGGCACATCATTCCAAAAAAACTGTTATAAAGCTAATCTTTCTACCATTTTGAAATGCATACAACAAAGCTGAAGCATTTCATTTTTTGAAACTCATTTCCTTTTAAAATTTGCTGTTGTAACTTTATTTTCCTTATCAAATAGTTCTATCACTATGATGAAGGACACGGGAAGGTTAATCTGATCACCTAGCAGGGTGAATGCACTTTTTTTTAAAGAAAAAAAAAAGCCAATGTTTGCCCTGGAGAAGGATGTCATGCTTGGTAGGGTGGAGGGTCGATGAAAGAGGGGGAGGCCTTCAACGAGATGGATTACACGGTGGCTGCGATCATGGGCTCAAGTATAGCAGGGATTGTGGGGCTGGCACGGGATCGGGCAGTGTTTCGTTCTGCTGTGCATGGGGTCGCTATGAGTCGGAAACGACTCG